GGATTCACACATACAACCGGAAAAATGTTAGAAGATTTCTGTGATGCCCTGGACCTAGTGTTAGTTAATGCACAAGTAAAATGCGAAGGGAAAATAACGTGGGAACGAAACAACTCACACTCAACGATAGACTATTGCCTCATGTCCCACAAACTGTATGACAGGCTAGGAAGTATGGAAATAGATGAGGAAGGTACAAAAAGCTTAGGGAGTGACCACAAAAGAATTAAGATTACATTCGGTACATCTGAACCTGAACAAGCCCAGGAACGAGCGGGTAAACAAAAACAAAAACTAAGTGAAGCACAAATTCAAAAAGTATCTAAAAGTATTGAGGACGTAGTATCGAAACAACCAGAAAAAGAGTGGACATATGAGGATTTAATAGGAATCTTTGAGAGAATTAGAGAAGCATCGAATTAAACAAAGAGGAAAGCAAAACCAAAGACACAAACCAAAAAGCTGGTGGGATAAGGAGGTCAAAGCAGCCATATTGCGGCGCCAAGAGGCATCTAGGGAGCATAGATGGGCAAAAAAAAGGGGAGCTCTGCCAGCTGAGGTAACATCAAAATGGGAGAGATTCCAAGAGCGGAAAAGGGAGGCATCAGCTTTAATACAGGCCAAAATTGGGAGGGCAGGAGTGCAGTGGATGATGGAAATAAATAAAAAAGATAAGAATGCGGCAAAAAGGTTTTGGGAGCACATTAAAGCACAGGGGAGAAAAACAGAGGATTTCCAACACTCGCTGACCACACAGGAGGGGAGAAGAGTACAGGGGGAAGAGGCACGGGAATATATTAGACAGACAATCGAAAAGGCTTTCTCCCAGCTTGAGCAGAGGGGGACGGTGGATAGCACTGTCAGCAGCACTGTAGAGGAGGAGCAGGATTGTATTACAATGGAGACAAACACAAGAGAATGGGATAAGGCAGAAAGTAAGGTTCCAGCGGGTACAGCAACAGGCCCCGACAACATACCCATGGAACTCATAAAGACACTAGGAAAAACAAGCAAATTGAAGTTACCGCAGGTGATTAATCAAGCAATTATGAAAGGAGAAGTACCCAATGATTGGAAACTAAGTAGAATGAGACTAATATATAAAGGCAAAGGAAACAAAGACAGCATTAAGTCATATCGCCCGATAACGGTAACCTCAGTTCTTTACAGATTAGCTATGCAGATTGTAAAGCAGAAAATGCAGGAATGGGCAGAAGATACGCAAATACTGGGTGAGCTTCAAAATGGATTCCGAAGAGATAGAAGACTGGAAGATAACTTATTCGTCACCACTCAATGTATAGAAATAGCAATCAAGAACCAAACTCCGTTGTGGTTAGCTTATTTGGACATCAAGGGAGCATACGATAATGTGAGCCAGGAAATACTTTGGGGTCGGCTGAAAGAGTATAATTTGGATGCAAATTTGGTTAGGTTTCTGCAGCAGGTGTACACAGACAATAAGGTAGTTATAACATGGGAAGCAGAAATTACACAACCCGCAGCAATAAAAAGAGGGCTCCGGCAGGGTTGTCCACTGTCGCCTCTGCTCTTCATGATATATCTCAGGGAAATGGAAAAGAAATTAGAGCAGAGCAACTTAGGTTTTGGTGTGAGTTATATGGAAGGAGGGAGAAAGGTAAGACAGGTAATACCAGGACTGATGTATGCGGACGACATATTACTTATGGCAGACAACCAGGATATGTTACAGGAACTAGCCGGCATATGTGGCGAGGAAGGGGACATCTTGGGCATGAGCTTCAGTAGCGACAAATCTGGAGTAATGGTGTTTAATGATGAAAAGAGGGGACCCCTGCGGATACAAGACATTTTAATAGACCATGTAGAAAAATACAAATATCTGGGAGTCTGGTTCAATGAGGGAAAGAAATATCTAGAAGAACATGAGGAGAATATAATTAGAAAAGGGAAAAGAAATTCATCTATTATGAAGCTCAAGGCACTATGGAACTATAACAGACATGAAGTGGTCAGGGGTATATGGAAAGGAGTGATGGTACCTGGACTGTCTTTTGACAATGGGGTGCTCTGCATGAAATCAGAGGTTCAATCAGGATTAGAAATTCGGCAAAGAAGCGTAGGCAGATTGGCACTGGGAGCACATGGAAACACACCAAATGAGGGAGTGCAGGGGGACATGGGCTGGTCGTCTTTTGAGAGCAGGGAAGCAATCAGTAAGTTGAAATTTGAACAAAGGTTGACTGAAATGGATGATACGAGATGGGCACGTAAGGTGTACAAGTATTTATACATGAAAAGCATAAACACAAAATGGACAAACCGAACCCGAAAGCTTACATTTAAATACCTACTCACTAATGATGGGGCTGAGCAGACTACTTCAGTGAAAAAGGGAGTGAAAGAGGCAGAGAGGAAAATGTGGGAGGGAAGAATGCAGGAAAAATCGACTCTAACTGTTTACAGGTCACAAAAACAGGACATACGAAAGGAAAATGTGTTTGACAACTCGCTGGGAAGTTCTTTACTTTTCGAGGCGAGAACGGGAGTTTTGAGGACGAGGACGTATAGGGCTAAATTTCAGGAGATAGACACATTATGCGCTGCATGCCGTGATGAGAGTGAGACACTTGAGCACCTAGTTTTAAGGTGCACGAGGCTTCGTCCTGCCCCTCCTGAGGATGTAACGGGTTTGGCCGGGGCCCTGGGCTTTGCTGGCGACGATGGAAGGACGGAGGAGAAGAGGATCACAATAACAAAGAGGCGGTTAGAAGATTGGTGGAAATTATCTAGGGAAAATTGAATGATGCACAACTAACTAGCACAGCTGGGGACAGGCGGGACAGAGGAAAATTGGGACTCCCTCCCGCGTGGCTCAGGCCCAAAGTCTCAACCCTGTCCCCCAGTGGGTTGGGTGCACGGGTAACGCCGACAAGGTTTGACCAGAGGAAAATTGGCGACTCCCTCACCGGGGGAAAGAGGCGGGGGGTGATGTTTTTAGTTTTTTTGCCCGATCCCCGAAAGGTCAGCCTGGCGATATCCCGCACTACCTGGTGATAGTTAGGAGGGGGGGAGAGAAAATTGGCTTAGAAGGGCGGGGGAATCAAATGTTTGTCTTTATTAGACGTAGGCTAGGTGGCGCAAGCTACCGCCCGATACAAAGGGTATAGCCAGTAGCATCCATCCATCCATCCATCCATCCTCTGCAGCTCGTGCGCGCGCGAACGTTTTGGCGGGTTTTCCACTTCTGGTTCGTCGTCTCGGAAATAAGGTGAGTACCTCATTGTATTCATTTAGTCCGATATGTATCCTATTTACGTACGAATCCGGCTATACCGCCATTGTGCACTGAGGCATGTCGTAGCGTAGTAGCCCGCGTTGACTGTGAGTACTGTGCCGCCATGCCTGGATCACGGCCGGCATACGCCTGCGAGAAAGCCTCCCGAGAAACAAGAAGAACTTTAGCGCTTCTTGAGCATGCCAGCAAGGACATACAGGAGGCCGAGTGCAACCCCAGTGAACGTCGTCTCGAGCAACGTAGCACGCCCGCCGCTGCTGAACATGCCCGCGGATCCCCGATTGGGCGAAGTGTTCCCGTCGATGGTGCCTCGAGTGCTGACTCACCCGCATATCGTCTCTACCGCCAAGACCGCAAACGCGAAGGGGCAGGTTACGACCAAGGCCGTTCGTTTGCCGAGTTAGCTGAAGGCGGCCCGCCAGGTTTAGATGATTCCGAAGGCAACGGGGATAGTGCTGGAGAAGGCACAAACGCGCTCTGCGAATTCCAGGATTCCTTGCGGGATTGGGCTGTAGAGAGTGGGATTAAAAGAAGGCCACTGACGGCTCTCCTCAAGATATTAAGGAGACGGGAAGGGATGTCAGACCTACCGAAAGATGGACGCACACTCCTGCAGACTCCTCGCAAACCACACGAGCAGTTCCCCTTCACACCTATGGCGCCAGGGAATTACTGCCATTTTGGACTTGCTGCTGGGCTGCAACACTCATTGCGTAATGTGGAACGGCTGCCAGCTTTCCTTTCTCTTACATTCAACATAGATGGCTTGCCATTGTCAAAAAGCTCCAAAACGCAACTGTGGCCTATTCAGTGCATGGTTTCCGGTTGCAATGAAGCACCATTTGTTGTTGGTGCCTTTGCTGGGAATTCGAAGCCAACAGCCTCAAACGACTTGTTGAGGGCTTTCGTTGAGGAGCTGCAGACCTTGCTTTTGCACGGCCTGACTATCAATGACAGTGTCATTCAAGTCAAGTTGGAGGCTATCATTTGTGATGCTCCTGCACGAGCATTCATAACTATGACAAAGGGTCATGGAGGTTACAGTGGCTGTCCAAAGTGTACAGTCGAAGGCTCCTACTTGCAAGGTAGAGTTGTCTTTCTTGAGATGGATTGCCCATTGCGTACTGACTTGAGCTTTAGACAACAAGACGACTCGGAGCACCACAAAGGGGAATCCATTTTGTTGGATTTGGCTATTGACATTGTGCATGACCTGCCTTTGGACTACATGCATCTCGTACTGCTCGGGGTCGTGAAGAAGCTCCTTTCCTTGTGGACTTCGGGGCCACTGGCTGTTCGTTTGGGGCCATTGCAGCGACACACTTTCAACGAGTACAGTGAGCTTTTGCGTCCTTGCATTCCCTGCGAATTCCCACGCAGGTCACGAGGACTTGATGAAATCGACCGCTGGAAGGCGGTTGAGTTCAGGCTTCTCCTCTTCTACACGGGTCCGTTGCTTTTGAAGTCCTGCTTGCCAGTTCAGCTGTATGAGCATTTTCTTCTCCTCCATGCTTCACTCTCCATACTGGCAAACCAACAACTGTGTCGTCAGCATGCCGGCTATGCTTGTGAACTCCTGAGGTGTTTTGTGTCGGAGTTTTGTGAGCTGTATGGTAATCACAATGCCTCTTTCAACATACATTGCCTTATACATCTTGCCTCCGATGTTCAAAGGCATGGGGAGCTAGACTCTTTCAGTGCTTTTCCTTTTGAAAGCCACATGCAAGTGCTGAAGAAGCAGCTCCGGAAGCATGGGAAGCCCTTAGAGCAGTTGTGCAATCGGATGGTAGAGGCACAGTCAAAGGAGCACAGACAGCCTTCTGATGGCGGCAAACCTTTCAAGCTCAGTCGCCAACACTGTGGAGGGCTCTTGTTGCCTGAATGTTGTCCGCCAGAGTACCAGATGCTGAAGTGTCGGAACTTCACCATTGCTCTAAAGGAACGGGACAACTGCTTCATGCAAGATGGCCACATTGTTATTGCGAGAAACATAGCCCACATGGGGGGCTCAAATGAGCCTTGCATTATTGGCCAAGAGTTTCTTGTGAAGGAAGACCTGTACCCTGCACCCTTCGAGTCTTCCAGACTTGGCATCTTCATTGTTGCACGCCTCTCAACGCCAAAGCCATGGCCTTTACGTAATGTGCGGAAAATGGTGAAGCTGCCCTGGGACAGCAAATTTGTGGCTTTGCCAGAACTGCACACAGTTTGATGCCCTGTTGCCAAGCAGATGTTGCGTTCGAGTGTACATAGAAGCTGCAAAACCCATCTGTTCTACGCACTTAGGTATGTGCACGTCTTAATGGGGTTCATCGTTGGCTCCTATTCAAAATAACTATAGGATGTCTCAAGTTACCGTATAACGCACTAAAATCAACAGGAAAAATCGCCGCCTGCACGTAACAAGCTCCCATTTTCACAAGGGGTGTATTTTATAGGTGCATTTTACCTTGTGAAATCTCAAGTCGTAGCTTCATTCCTGTGAAACGTTAGACTTGGCTCTGTTTTTGTGTAATCCAATGCAGCTGACAGCTTTTGCCGACGGTAAACTGAGTCTTCTATGACGGGCATATTTTTTAAATTTAAAGCATGTTCTTACCCTGCACTGGAACTGAGCTACACCTTGAACGTTCACAAGGTAAAAGTACCTACAAAACGCACATTTCATGTAAAATAGGAGCTTGCTGCATGCAGGTTAGATTTTTCCAGTTGACTTTAGCGCATTATCCGGTATCTTGAGACACTCTATACATGTAATATGTTTTTTACCACGTTTTTATACTATTTGTTCCCTTACTTATTGGGAAGCTGTGTTCAGCTGTTGGTAATAAACAATCTCTCTGCTTTTTTTTTTTTTTTTTCAGATGGCCTATGCCATTGTGGAGTTCCTTCGTCTAAAGCAGGTTGAAGTTGTGCCTGCGCATTGTGCATGGCCTGACCAGGCCAAAGGGGACAAGATAATTGTGATGGTGAAAAAAGCAGTGCCACCAGATGCGTCGTGGAGACGATTTGCTGTGGTGGTGAAGTGGTTATTCGGTATGGACAATTTTATAATGTGATGTGGTGCAAGAAAGCTGACACTACGGATGCTTGTCCTTTCAGCAACATACGAGCAGGCACGGAAGAAGCTGGAGCGTAGCCAATACACATCGGAACTAAGCAGCGACTCAGAAAGGCCGCAAGGCAAGAGGAAGCGGAGGCCACCGCCCCAGTGGTCGCAGTCCGACGAGGAATCAGTGTGACACAAGCCAACAAAGGCAGCCCCCCGAAAAGTGCCCGCAGTACCGGCAGATTTTCCTCAAGGTGATTTGCTGAAAATTGCATCCTGTCTCGTGTTACATAAGACAGCCCTGAAATTAGGGATAACTTGTTGCAATTAATGCAGTGTCGAACACTTCTTTCCCAGGCCTGTTCACTGCTGCATCAAAGGAGGGAAGCAGTTCTGCAGGAAGACAAAGTAAGTGAGCTTCCTCATGTTTGGCTCACATGTGGCTCATATTGAGGCATCACGGTGATGCTCCACACTGCACCACTGCTCCTGGCCAGTGTCTTGGCAGTAGTAGTCTTTACTATAATTCCAAGTGCGAGGCTTCAGGAGGTTCTTTTTCAAGTTCTTTCTTCCAGCTCCGGTACCCATCATGATTTGTTGGCACTCCCATAGGTTTGTCGTGTATGAACCAAAGTTGGTACTTAAACTTCAGTTAAGCTGCCGAGTTCTAAATATTTCTGTTCTGCTTTTGGTATCCTTCAGGCTCCAGTGTGCCGGATGACCTGGGAAATTTTGCTCCTGAGATTTGTGTGCAAGGTAAATTCCTAAAACAAAAAAAAAAACAATTTTTTTAAAGTAAATTAAGGCACTTATTATATGTGCTGCAATTGAGTTTATCCACAAACACATTTCTAGCGTAGGAAGAAATGTTATAAGGTCTTCTTTGTTAAAATTCAGATATGTACCGGATCGAACAAGTGATTACCTTCAGCTATTTTTGTATGCTGTGCAGGTAGCAGCCACTCGCAAGCGCCCTCGGATTCCTCCGAGAACGGCAGCATTTTAGACACAGGTAAGCATTTTTATAATGGTATAGTAATAATGAGATTTATCAAAAATTTAACCTAGGGAAAACTTATGCTATTGCTGTCATTTCATACACAGCGATAGTCCAATTAGGAATCATAGCTATATGTTGTGTTCTATTGAACACCGCGGGTCTGTGTTGTCATTAAGTATGCGTATGGACACTCGCAAACATGAACAAGCATTGGTGCTGCTAGTCTTGACTTCTTTTTCTACAAAAGCTCTCTTATACTAAAATATCCATCGCTATGTACCGGTGTCTAGCTAAGATGAGGAATTTTGCTCATAAAAATGTAATGCACTGTAATCAAGAATTAAGCTGTCTCATACCAAAGGAAGTTTACTGTACACAGGGTACATATTTTCAACATCCTATCGAACAACCTCAATGAATTATGTTGTTTCATATTTTTTAGCAATCTCGTGCCTTGTAGCTTAGAAACGGGTTTCCTGGAATTGACTGCTTTTTTCCCTTTCACTTACAGACATAAGGAGCTTGGAGGAATCCAGGTCACCTGTTGAAGGTAGTATTGTTTAATCATCTCCTATTCGCAACTCCAGAGGCTTCAACGTCACCCAGCAGAAAAGACGTGAAGGATAGCAACAGGTTGTTCGTGCCTGTTCAACTGTGCTGCAAAAACTGGCGCAGCATGGCAACTAAAACGGGTAACAGAGAAATGGGGATTAAATGTGAACCGTTGGAGTTGCGAATATTAATACAGAAAATTTAATCATATATATGCTTTTTACTTGGGCAGTAAACTTGTTGCACTACAGCCTTGCATCAATCAAACATTAAATTGCATTAGATGAGGCATGCTAGGGGAGATCTCCTCAAGATAATGTCTGGACATGATCGTGGCTTGTTGACTAGTTCTGAGACCTTGTGAGATATATTATCAATATCAGGATAAATAATAGTACAACCTTTTTTTTTGCGTCTCCAGTTGGTTGCAGGGAGCATATTGGCAGCGACTAAATTTTGCAAATCCCAGGTGCCAGGAATGTGTATGTTAAAAGACCAAAAATTTTGCTTCCCCTTAAATTTTATGAACTCTTCAATTCACGAACAGTAAGGGCATGCAAATGCTAATAGTCTCTTGGTATCTCTTTTTAGGAGTATCAGAAAGCTGTCTAGAGGACATTTTAGTAGTCTTAAATAGCATTTCTAAAGCCTGTGTACTTGTAGGGCTTCAAGCAAGCGAGCTACAGGATCCACAAGATCAGGGTAAATATGTGACACATTCTTTCTGGTAAAATTTCATTAAGTTCTAGATTGGGGGTGTAGTGTAAAAAAAAAGCAGGACCAAGAAATAAAGGATGCTGACATCTGGCAAGCTTATTGTGCTGGCATGTTTGGTTTTGTATGCTGTGCCTCTTTTTTGTATTCCTGTTTTCTTCTGCATCTTAATTTCTTTTTCTAACCAAATATCGTTTTTTGATATATCTGGTTGCCATAAGGAGTTACGGATAAGGACAGCAGTGCTTCCAGTGAAAGGGATAACGTGAGCTATCTAAGCCTTCAAAAGTGGTGAAGCCTGAGTGCACAGAAATGTATTGGGCATGGAAGATCACAAGGTTGTGCTTCTAACTATACTCTTTTCTACTTTTTCCCCAAGCAATTAATTTGAAGCGTCATTCAAGATTATATGGACCTAGTCATTTTTGCCCTTTGGATTTGTTGCTCAATTTTTTTAAGTTAAACAATGGAGTAACTATGTAGTTTCATTGAGGGAATTATGCCATGCCCAATAAAAATGCAAGTGCAAACTATCTCTATCCTCGTGTAAAATATATTTTCAATTGCTTTCCTTTTTCATACCACAAGCATTCAAGCAGCACGTCCTGCGGCTGTTAAACATCATGCGCTTCACGCTGCAGCAGCATGGCGAGATGCTCAACAAGCTCTGCGCAATCCTTCCAGTCCACGCAGTTATTGCACACCCATCCCTCGTTGAACAAGCGTTCAACACACTACCTGACCTCCTGGCCTTTGAGAAAGAGTTGGATGAAGAGAAGGCTCTACGTCTCGTAAGTATTTTACTTTAATACTGCTATACAGCTGTGCGGCTGTTTGAAGGGTAACTTGGCCTAATTTCAGTTTAAGAGAACACTTCAGTTGTCTTTTGCATCATATTGAAAACCACATGACATAATCCCCTGAAAAGTTCATTAGACATTGTACGTAGAGAAATGTTTTGATGGGTGTGCAGCTGTTGTTCGGTTTCTATTAAGCAGCTGACCACCCAGTCAAGTGAGGTAAAAATGGGGGCGCTTAATTAAAAGCAAAAGATGCCAGAGCGAAATGATCAGCAATGACGCGCAGTTCTGCAGTGGCTGCTGAAGAAAGAAGCCGGGTGACCCTCGCTAGAGCAGTTCCCATTTCTGCCGCGAGAAAGCGAGCAACGAACTGGAGACACAAATGGGCAACATGCGGTGCAGTGAAGAGCTCCGTCAGTAGTGCTGTATTTGCGTGGCCAACACTGCACTAGTTGCGTTCAAGACATTTTACCACAAATTTTTTTTTCACATAATCATGCCTGGGTTATGCCATGCTTTCCTGAATTAAGTTATATTCACTCCAAATATCCCATGCTGTCTTTTTATGCAGGTTCATGAGCTTAAGCAACTCGGGGGCAAGACTGCAAGCAAGGCCACGAAGCGGATGCTGACGTATCTGCTAACTGATGAGCTAGCTGCACAGTTCTCGTGGATCGGAAGAAAGGGGAAACTCAACTTTTCAGTTTTAAAGACTGCCACTGCAATTACTGGTAAGCCAGAAACTTGAGAAAGTAACTATTTCGATGTCAAACAAAACTAATCTAAAGGTTTACTCTTAGATGTATGACATCACTTCTAAAAAGCTCAAAAATCATTTTTTTTAATATTTGTCCATCTTCCATGTAAATAGTAGCTTACTTATTTTGACAGAAAGAAAAAAGCCACGTTTGTATTGTTTACCAGCTTTCCTGTTAATGTGAAAACCTTTTTTAGCTATTTTCATATCAGACATTGAAGCAATCATTGCTGAATGTTTACCTCCTTTTATGCTACTTACTAGGCCAATGGCAAAAGATATGGGCCTTTCGAGTCAGTCACAGTGCCTGGGAAGACATTTTCTCTTGAGTTGGACCCCTCTGAGAAACAGACAACAACAAAAATCCCTCGCACTGCTCTTCCCTCACTTGAGTAATTTTGTCTTTTTACCAGGTTAGCATGAAATGGACCTGGTTTATGTCTTGCATAATTCTGTACATTGAATCTTTAGATACTTTGCCCATCTTTAATAACTCGTGTGGCCTGTCATTCCTTTGTAAGATGCACATTTTCAAGCAGAAGCAAGTTAGACACTAGACAGCATAAAATCGGTCTTGCAGTGTATGGCAACGCTGGCTTGTGTTGTGGATAAGCAATGTAGCCAGTGCGGTATGACTATGGCGCCCGGGACGCGTCTCTGACTGGTGAGTGGTAAGAAGTGACAACTGCAAAGCAAGCACGTCATGCTGTCAATTGTCACCATTCTGGCAGTTGGTGGTGGAAATACCAGAACACCAATGGATGTAAGGATTTCTGCTGTTGCGACGTTTCAAACCGTGTCTAGATAGTTTTTGTCAGCTGAATGTCTGCTGAGCGAACTGCAACAGGCGTTTGCCGCAGCCCCTGCTGTGCCGCCACCAGGGTCGCAACAGTCAACAACACGAAGGTGTATGATGCCACGAGTCGGAAGACGAAAAGCGAAAAATAAAGACTCGATAAGCACACCAGGTGAAGATGCGTTTCAGGCACTGTAGTATGACTGCTAAGCTGTTTTTTTTAAGTGCACCAAGCAGTAGTTAAAGGGCCCATGAAACGATTTTTGGGTTGGGATAAATCATTTTAGATTGATCGTTCAGTGGACCAAAAGAAAAAAGGTAGAAAGTCAAAAGCCTGACTTTCAGTGCGAAAATTTGAAAACAGAGCGGACTATTTCGTACCTCCTCCCCTTCGCAACCTCTCTGCCTTTTCACTGTGATACATCCGCGGTCCCAAAAGCGCGTCAACGGGTCCAAACTGACGTCACACGCAACCGGACCTCACTTATTCCCTTCACCCCTAAGCCGACATTGTGATGGAAGCTACGCGCTTGCCGGACCAATTAGCCGCCTCCGTTTCATCACCTGACTTCCTTCTCTGCAGCCACATTTGCCACGCTCACGTGGCAAGTGTGGCTGGCCCAACGAGCACGTAGCTTCAACAGCACTGTCAGCTTCGGAATGAACGGGGTGGGGAAAGCAACTTTTGGCTGAATTTTGAGCGACGGGCTAATCTTCTAGGGGGAGAATGGATGTGTCCGGATTACACAAACGAGAGTGCGAGCAAGAGGGGACTCCCCCTTTTCGTCTTCTTTAACTGTTTGATGGAATGCGCAATTTATGAGTTGAGGAGGAAAGCTAAACAGGAAAAAGTTGGAAAAGCGTTTCATGACCCCTTTAATTGCACAAGCGCATGCTGGTATGATTCTTACCCTAATTGGAATGGGAACGGCTAAGGACTTGACTCAGGATACGTGGGTTCTGCCAAGCAAATGTTTGCTCCATGTGCTCCGAGCTGCCTTGCACTAACATGATCGACCACTGATCCCCTTTCTTTTTTCAAGCATTTTTGGGTATAGTGTTGTTAGGGTTATGCACTAATCTGGTTTCAGATGCTGCAAAGAAGTTGCCAGGAGGTAAAGATGCCATTGAGGACGCGATCAAGTCTTGGCTTCGGCACGCCCCTGAAAGGGCCAAGGGCCAAAGGTGCAAAGCACCTGAAGCGCACCAAAATGAAGGTATGCTTTTCATGCATGTGTAGCCATAGGGCTTTGAAAATGTTGCTTTTATGAGGCCAGTGCAAAATAAATATGATACCGTAAAATGCTGAGCATCTGCCCACTAATTACTAAGCACCCACCCCCAAATTTTGCAACATCTGAAAAAGAATGCGCAGTACACACTGTGGGTTCGCTATTTTAGCAAAAAGTCCTCATCGAGGTAACTACCCACGCCATAGTCCGCTCTTTGCGCGCCTACGGTCGGGTCCGTCCATTCACTGCCTCTTGGCTCCGGTGGCCAAAAGACTGCACCAACACAGTGAGTCCATTTTCGACGTGTCTATTGACTCGTATGCCAACACGCTTCGCTCTAGGACAGTGAAAGTCTGGACGCTGGCTCAGTGGCTAGTATCACCCGGTCGGTTTCCCGCGCTGCCGCAATAGACAGATTCACGGGAAGTTGGAAGTTCACAAAGAAAAACCGAGCTCAATAGAGCAAGAGCTTCCGCCGAATAGACCCCCCGGACCAGGTTTGGGGCCGGCTTATATAGCCTTTCGGGAAATGGACGCGCCCCGGGGAGGCCGGTAGAAGTTTAGCCCGGAAACGGGACGCATCCACAATCACTCCCAAGGGTGCGCCGGCGGCACTTTCACCTTATGAGGGCGAGGGGAGAGCTGTCTTTTTTGGGGAATACGGCCTTGAATCCTCGCATCCGAGAAGCCGTCGCTATGATGGCGACGACCCCCCATGGCCTGCACGTGGCTAGGGCTTAGATAAGGCAGAGAAACCTAGTGATTTCCACAACACATACCGCAGAATACCGCGCATCCGCCCGTACCACACTAAACGCCCATACCCAAATTTGCAAAATCTGAGAAAATAGGCACAGTACATTGATATATAAAATTGATGACCGGACGAGCGCCCATCCTCTATTTTTTTGCAATTATCTTTAAATTTTGAGTGGGCGCTTGCCCGGTATTTTACGGTAGAAAAAATTGATGACCTAACGAGCGCCCATTCCCCAATTTTTGCAATTATCTCCTTATTTTGAGTGGGCGCTTGCTCGGAATTTTATGGTAATTCATCATCCCATTGATTACTACAACCATATTGCTTTAATGCAGTTGAAGGTTTTTCAGCCCCCTCTGTGGAACAGTAGCTAATGTGTCCCATCCCAGCCTGAGCCATTCATTTCCCCGCCAGAGGCTGCGTTTCTTTGGGACAAAACCCCCGGTGGTTAAACAAATTAGGAGACTGCCACTATGGCATTTCTCAGTGCTCAAATTTGGGCCATAAAACCCCAAATTTTGATTGCTTTGCAGAATCTCATTTGCTAGTGTACCCCAGCTGAACAGACGGGACGGAGGAAAGGAGACAAACAGGCGCTAACTATGGTACCCGGTACCCCTTCCATGTGCTGTTTAGCTTAACAATACTTTTTTATTGTTCTCTTGCTTAACCGCTACAAGCCGACAATGTACTTGTTAGCAATTATTTTTTGGCTTTCAGTTGAATAATGTATAGCAGCCACAGTTTCTTGTTTATTGACCTGCCACTTTTTACTTTTCTTTTTGTGAGGGCGTATAATGCATACCATATTTTTATTCTTTTTGTGCACTCCTTTCTGGTTAACTATTGTACTATATTTGGGCAGTACTTTTTTTTTGTCCAGGAGATAAAATGTGCTCCCCTTTATCTTTGAATTTCTAGAGTCGGATTGAGAGGCCTTGCAGAACTGCCGACGCTGGAACACTCATCAGCAAGGAGCAGAGTGCCAGCGGGGAGTAGGAGGTCAAAACAGCTTTCCTTTAAGTGCGTCTGAGGTTTCGCGTGCAAACTTTATATATATCAGACCACAGCAGTTTCTTTTGAAGTTCATTATGCCAGGCCTCTTGTACGTGCATTTGTTTTTTCTTTCATACTTGCCTTTCACTGCCTGTGAACATTGTTTCTGTGCTCTTGTGGATTTGCACCGCAATGTTTTTTCGCACATCTGATTTCAGGTGGAGTGACTTTTTTTTTTTACTTTTTAGTGTACAAGTTTTTGCTGTGCTTTTTTTCACAAAAAAGTTTTTTTAAGGAAGTTCCATATAGTGTGGTGCACCTTGCAGTGGTTAGCTACCCTTGGTAATGTTGCAATAAAACCACTGTGATCCACTGTGCATTCCAGCTGAGGTGTTGTTTTTGAAGTTGTCTTTATTGACAAGTGAAATATATTTTAATAGAAAATTTAAAGATTTTTGGTTTGAATTTTTGTGAAGAAATGTGTTCTTCCTTACACTTAGCATAACATTTGTCAAGGTTGTAATGCTTGTATGGCACTGTTTATTCATACTGTGATATTTTGAACATGTCTAAGTTTAGACAAAGTGAATGCTTTTGAAAGGGTTTGCTTGGCATTTTTTTAACATGCTATAGTGATTTTTGATAAGATGTTACCAAAGAGGCTGCATATAGCATGGTGTACCTTGCAGGGGTTAGCTACCCTTGGTAATGTTGCAGTAAAACCATTGCGATCCACTGTGCTTTCAGAATAAGGTGTTGTTCTCGAAGTGGTCTTTGATGACATGTGTTACATTTAAAAAACAATTTGGTTTGAATTTTTGTGAAGAAATGTGTTTTGTGCATTTGGCATAATGCATGTCAAGGTTGTAACGCTTGTATTACATGTTTATTCATACTGTGATATTTTGAACATGACTAAGTTCAGTTGGAGTGAATAATTTTGAAGGGGCTTGCTTGGCATTTTTTCTTTACAAACTATAGCATTGTTTATTTTTAGAAAAGATGTTACCAAAGAAGCTGCATAGAGTATGTTGTATGGTCGCGATCCATGTGCAGGCGATTGTCAACTGCTTTGTACTGGCAGCACCGGATAAAAGCGGCCATTTATGCACATTTTTTTTAATTCTCAGAGGCTTTGCGAACCAGGCGCAGAAGGGCATCTGATAACAAGAGTAAGCCGCCACTGCATTACGTGCCAGGACAGAGTGATCGACGATCCCCTGTTTTCCTTCGCACGAATCATGACTACCTCGCAAGGACTGCATGTTTACCCCTGCTAACATTGTTGCAGTATGATCATCGTGATCACCTGCCTGTTCCTACTGTGTTTTTTTATAAAGTTGTTTAGGTGTGTAGTTACACTTAAAAAGTGTTGCTTTTAATTTTTGTGAATAAATCTGTTCCTCCTAACTTTTAGCATATGGTTGTTTAGAGGTACAAAGTTTGTAAAGTATAATGTTCCTCGTTATTTTTTTTTAATTTTATTAAATCTTTTTTAGAGTTAAACGATGTGACCATGCTGTTATGCATCATCTAGAGAGTGCAGCACAGTTAGCATGAACATGCCTTTGCCAACTTTTTCTGTTTTCCTATGACAAGCAAAGCCAGGTCACCAAAACGATTTATGTGGTCGAAAGGGCTTAACTGGGACACAGCATAAGTGATAAAACGTTGCCTCTCGAAAAAAGTAGTGATATGTTCTTTCTAACTGCGTCATAGTATGTACTTAACATTTATGTGTAACTTCGTGCAACTTGTTAAACTTGCATGTGAATCCTCTCAAGAAAGCTCTTGATTAAGAATTCATTATATTTTTCCTTTACCCGAGCGTTCAAAATGACCAAGATGCTGCTAAATCAAGGTGCTCCTCTTGGAATTGCCCTTTCCTGTGCATGTCGGAGGTTTCGTGAACCATATATTTTCTCACTATACCCACATCTATTTCTGGAAAGAGTACATCCTGTCATGCCTGTGGCAACCAGCCCTTTTTGGTTTAGAGGGAAACCGTGCAAATAGAGGTCCATAAATAATATGACTCGAAATGGTGAAATGTGCTTAGATGGTTAGCATGTTAATTTAATGCCCACTTTTCCTGCACAGCTTGTTAATTTAGCTCGGTTGTAGCCTGGGCCTTCTCATTTGCTAGTCTCTCTTAAGCCACTGCAAAGAAACAACCTTCTTTAGAACAGCTTAGTTATGGAATTTGCATCCCACATAATGCATTCCCTCCCATCTCCCCCCCCCCCCCATTGGAAAAACGTACAAGAAACAAACCTGCCGCTTTTACAATTCTGGTATGACACCAACATAATTTCTTGGTATTATGTAAGCAGCTAGTTTGGTTCGTCGTTATGCATAACTGGAGATACCGGCACCGCTATGGCTCCGGGTCTGTCTATACTGGCAGCCAGTTTGCTTGCCGATATGATTCCGTGTGGCTGGTGTGATTTTGCGTCCGATGACGTAGGCGACCGCCTTCTTTCCAACGAAACGCTTACACCACAGGACCACCGTTATAACTAAATCATACATGCAGAAAGACGACCGACATCTTCCAACAAAAACGTCCATCGTTCACCACCGGTATCGTACATACACCATGTATGTCGAAAAAGAACATAAGCCGCGTTTCCATGAATGCGACTTAGTCACATTGAATCCAGTTGCCGCATTCTATATATGGTCATGTAAACGGCATAATGCGCAAAGCGCATCGCATTTTGGAACGGGAAGGATAATCGCAAGGCGCTCGCTGCGGGAGCGAGTGAACAGCTGAGAACATGGCGGCGGCCAACCTCGTCGGCGGCGCGGAGAGCGGTCCCGCATTTTTTTTTTTTTTTCCCGAGAACAAACGCAAGCTTTTGTTGCGATCATAAGTAAGCGGAATATAGCGGAGCTGCTCGGTGAGGGCGGCCCCGTCCAAACCTTTGCGAAGTACGACTTGCGCTTCCGAAGGGGTCACAATGACTTCAGTGCAAGCACGAATGACACCGAGAGCTCCGAGCACTGTAGAGCACTGCATGGTAGCGCAGAACGAGCAGCTCCTACTTCGGTGCCGTTCCTGGCTGCGCAAGAGCCTCTCGGACTCGGGGTCCGGTTGGTCCGGTCGCGATCGGCGAGGTCTGACGCGGCGAAACGCGGAGGCTTCCTCAAAGCGTGCGCACACACGTCGCCTCTCGTTCAGAGTGAACCGGCGGCCCGGCCTGGAGTCCTAAACGCCTTGGTTTTGATGCTTCTTCCGTCTCGCAACTTCTTCCACAGCACCGAAGACAGCGGACACGATCTTTACTTTCACTCAATGCGTCGAAAGGACTCCACGTGCGATGCACCGGAAAACGTGGTGCGGCTGGTGCCGGAACGGAACTGCGGAACTTCGAGCTTTGAGTTAACGTGCACGGCAAGAAACCGATCGTAACACCAAGCCGCGGATACCGCATCGCCGGTCGACAGCGGCAAACGGCCCGTTGCTCGTACTCGGCAAACTCGGCGTCTTTTCGTGGCCCCTCGCGTCCTCGCAACCAGCCACAAACTCACCAGCCCGCAACCGTAGCGACCGTAGCCGGCGTTGGAGAAAACCGAAACCGAAACTTAAGGCTTCCGCCCAGTGGCTTCGGTGCTTCCGCTGCCGCGGGTTTTCTAACTTCGCGGCTTCCACTTCCGGTCGTCGCGGAGATGGCGAACAATGGCGAAGATAGCGCGATGTGGTTCGTTGGCTCGTTTACGGTTACGGGACAGATGTTTTGCGGTCCGTTTCTACTGCGTCTCTGGTTCTAAACTCGATGGCGCCTCTCATAGTTCAACCAGGTGTGGTCGGCCTGGGTCAGCGCGGTCGGCTCGCCTCGTCCGATCTCCGGACCGCCGGCGACTTCCCAGTTCTTTAGGCCTGGGATCCGAAGGCGTCTGTCTCCGTGAAACGGTAAGCGAATCTCGTCCCGTTTTCGTTCTACTTTTAAATTACGTTTGGTGCGCTACAGTGTAAGCATGCGTGCCAAGTGTTCGTGACAATTTTGAACTAGAATAATTGTGCTTCATTGCGGTTTGTCATTTACCGCAAATGTAAATCGAGCAATGAACGAGGAGTAATTTGAGCAATGAACGAGGAGCCATGCTTGAAAACGATGTATGTACGACGTTAACTTCTACCTGTGCGGCTTTAAAGGAAGTCAAGACTGGTTACGGTTGGATGCGAGGCTGGTCCCAATGCAATGTTAAGCACTTAGAGCGCCTTTCTGAACGGCATGTAAGCAATATAGCTATCAACGAGACGAGCGACGGCGAGAAGCTACGAGTGCCGGCGCCGAGCGACGAAGATTTCTCACTCCCGCTGCTTGCGCCGCTCGGTTCTTGGGCTTCTAGAAAACGTCGCTCATCGCCTTGGTCGCTCGCACCAATCGCTTTCATAATGTGTGTATCGTCGCGCGGCCGTGTTTATTCGAATATAAGTCGACCTTTTTTTTTTTTTTTTTTTTCGGAAATTGTGACTAAAGAATTTCGACACCTGCATTCGCGACCAAATTTTGCAACCCTACCGGAAGCATGAAGCTATCGAGTCACCGAGCCGGCGTTGCCGTAGAGCAGCGCCGCTTCTTGTTTCAAAAAGCTTTTGGTAACCGAAATGGCTCGCCGCCCGCGGTGGCCCGTGCCGCTCCTCGGGCGTCGGATTTCGACATCGCGCCTCTAGCGTTCCCCTTGCTGGGCAATGGGGAAGGAGAGGAACGCGAAGCGCCACGCACTTTACCCTCCATCCTTGTAAACGCGCACAAAAAAGAAAAAAAAAGAAAAAGCTACTTTTGTTAGTTGCTTGAGGCGGCTCGGCTCGCGTGTTGCTCATGGCGACACGGCGGCTTTGCTTGCGTCTTTGTAGTTTGTCTTCCGTCGCTTCGCACCTTCTTTCGTTTCCTGTCGTCATTTTACAACGGTGTCAGTGAAGTATTGCTGCGAATATGCG